ATAATTATATATATATATATATATATATATATATATATATATATATATATATAATATATATATATATATATATATATATATAAATATATATATATATATGTAAATATATATATGTATATATATACTATACACCTACACATATACATACGTTATGCAGGTCCTTCAGATCCATAGCCACCCCCTCCCCACTCTTACTGTTCCGAATACGCAAGTCACAGACCACCATCTGTCCCTGGCCGTCTGCCAGATACACCACTTTGTCTTGTGTCCTCGAGGGCACGCAGGAGGTGAGCATCACCTCCTCGTCAACGTAGAAAGCGTCTGAGTTCTGATTACGCACATCGAATACCAATGCCGATCCGTCGTAGCTGCTGCTGTATAACTAAGAGACACAACACAGTACACAGTACGTGAGTGAGTTGAATGTGGATGGTTAATGAAGGACATGTATCCAAAGCCCTGTTCAGACTACACTTCAGACTACACTGCAAACATCCTGCTGTGAACGAGCAATAGTACCGAACTTCGAACTTCGATGCGGAGCTATGGTAGCTACTGCTGCTGTGTAACTGATGGAATAGCAGATAAGGCGTAATTTTAGTCCCCACCGCGAAAATGAAACCAGCCCCACCCCACAACACCTCGATCGCGATACACTACAAAATAAACATAGAAACTCCCTAAAACCCTAATACCCAGGCCGGAAGCCAAAATCCATGGTTCAAGAGTGACTATGTCTCCTACAGGACCGCGAAGATTGCCCAAGACACATCAGATACCCTAACACACTTATGTGGTACACCTCAATAGAAATTCTATCATACTGCATCTGAGTGTGATCAAAAGGATTGACAATCAAAGCAGTCACAGGCCGAGAGTGTAAAAAGAAGTACATCTCGATATAAGTCCTTAAATACTGCACATACCTGAGTGTGATCGAAAGGGTTGACAATCAAGGCAGTCACAGGCCGAGAGTGTAATCTGTAGCTAGGAGCCACGAGGTGGTCGTAGGCCTCGTCGTATTCGCGATTAACATCCCAGATGGATACTTCGCCCAGCTGTTTTGGATCGGATTTACATATCATTATTTTATGGATATATATATATAATATAAACGAACTCTCTAATACAGACTATGGCAGATACGAGAGGCAGCGCGAGAACGCCGCATTAAACCCCACACAGAGATACTGGACAATTATCTTGCACACCGAGAATCGAACATCATCCACGATATCTGCAAACACTATTATAATCTTAAAGAAATACTGGACAATTATCAAGAGCCATCGCCATTGTGTTGCAAACGATACATACCAAGGACCATGCACCACCCAAGTACATTATTACCCGCAAACACAAATATCACCACACAGAAACACTGGACAATTATCAACGCCACCGACATTGTGTTCCATGCGATATATACCGAAAATCGTGCACCTCCCGAGTACATTGCTACCCGCAAACACTAACATCGCCACACAGAAATACTGGACAAATATCACACGCCACCGCCATGTGTTGCATGCGATGCACACCAAGAATCGCGCCCCACCCCACGTACCTTATTACCCGCAAACACTAATACCATCACACAGAAATACTGGACAAATATCAAGCGCCACCGCCATTGTGATGCATACGATACAGACCAAGAATCGCGCCCCACCCCACGTACTTTATTGCCCGCAAACACTATTCGCTTGCTCGTTGTAGGATGGTAGGCAAGGTGCATGATCCTCTCTTTGGAGACTTTACACACTTGATCCGTCTTTATCTCCCACTTCCTAATCATCTGTTCTACTTCTTTGTGTCCGCTGTGTTTGGTATCTGCGTCAGGGGTAACCACACGACCCATCAGAACATGGATATCGAGTAGTTCTTAGGCTGAGCCTGCACGTGTTGTGGGTTACAAACTCACAGCTACGGAAATGGCCGCTAGTATGCAGCTGCTCATAGTCACATGTGAACACAACCGATTTGCGCACATCTGTGGCTGCTAAGATGCGTATGTACACTGAAACCTGCGACACCAGCACCTCTGGCGGTGTGACACTGTTCCGCAACGGATAGATAGATCACGCGACAAACATTCCTGTATCAATTAGCACAGAAGAGTCCTCCCATCAATAAACCACACCACACCACACATGCACATACCTTCGCTTTGATTTCCATTGCATAACAAGCCCATCCGCTGTACCAACTCTCACTGAAGAGTCCTCCCATCAATAAACCACACCAAACCACACCAAACCACACATACACATACCTTCGCTTATAGTTTCCATTGCAGCACTAGCATCCTTCAGATACTGCGAGCGCATCCGGGCTTCGACCCCGTCTGCGCTATCGATGTCATGTTTACTGTCCGCCAACACATCCTTTCCAGTATCTCCAGTCTTCGTTTCAGTGCCATCAGTCTTTGTGTCCGTGATTTCACTCTTGACCTCCACGTCTTCCGTTTCTAACTTTATATCCTTCTCGGATTCTTCTCCCTCATCCTCTGATTCTAATGGTATCACACCCAGTTTTCTCTGTTTCCTCTCAGTACGAGTGGGAAACAATAGATCCAACGCCTCCAGCTGCTTCAGGCTTGCACCAGGCTCAGCAGCATTGCCTGCAATCAAGGAAAATAAACTTTTAAACTCGTATTATACCTGTGCCTATGGATCGCCCCAATATGTCTAACCTTCCGGAGTATCGATAACACTGTAACAATGTAACTATACCCCAGGAAACATGCAGGCATACGAACGCCAACGTAAACATCTTTGTGGTTGCCTGAGACAAGCGCCCTTGGCCTTCATGTAAGCAGAGAAGTACTACCACATACTAGACATCATTCACTCCACAGAACTCTAGTCGGATACGCTCCTCCGTTCACCACGGGATCGGAAAACTCTATAAATAGAAACAATTGAAACCGGTGCGAGACTCGTACCTGCAACCCTTGCCGACCGTCTTGTAGGTAAAGCATTTCTTGGTTGGGGTTTCTCCCGTGGTCGTGAACGTGCACCTCGAACCTCTAGTTTTGGTCGCTTGTGTGCAGGTTCCGATCCAGCGATTGGTAGATTGAGAGATAGCAGCCTGCACCGAAATGGTGACGGCCTTTAGTAGGTAACCAGGTTCAAGTAGGGTAGTGATGACGAATATAATACTATTTGTACACTAACAATTTCGAAGTATAAGTCGAACAAAATTTAGTCGACATTTTAAAACTACAGCCAGAAAAGCCGGGAATAAGTCCGGAAAAAGGCATGATGAACCTCAGTGTGTATCAGGGTTATCATGGTGAGCATGCCAACTAGACAAATGACATATAGGAATAAAAGTATATCAATTTGATAGCATACTATACATGACGATGAAAATAAAAAATAGGCATAAGAGTATGCATATACTCTTCATATAGAGAAGACATATCTCGAAACACGAAAATAGAACACATATATATTTATATATATATATATGTGTGTGTGTGTGTGTGTGTGTGTG